GACCCTAAGCTCTGGCACTGAGCCACTTCAAATGCCTGTTTGCTACCTCTGGGGGTTCAGAGCCCCGTGCTCTCACTGCCCTGAACACAGGCTCAACTCTACACGACCCCAAGGACTGTATCCCACCAGGCTCTCTGTCCATGGAAGTCTCCAGGCAAGAATACCGGAGTGGGTTGCCATTCCCTTCTCCAGGGGAACTTCCAGACCCAGGGATCAAACCTGGGTCTCCTGCATTGTAGGCAGATTCCTGACCTTCTGAGCCACCAGGGAAACCCTCAACTCCACACATACCAGTATGGTTCTGCACTCCTGGGCTGCACCCCAGGCCCCAGCTGCCAACCCAGAGACACCACCGATGAGGCAGGCATCGGGGCTACAGCCATTATGATGTCTCACAGACATGGAATTACGAACAACCTTCTAGGACGTTTTTCTTTTGTATTTTATTTTTCTAATTTTCTACAATGGGTAAGTGTTATTCAGGAAGAAAAAAAAAGTCAAATAGCCAGTAACAATGGAGTCTAAGAACTAACAATGTTTAAGAAACATTTTGCCCCATGGAGACATCGATGGAAAGAGGGCAAACCCAGCCCACCACGCTGGCTGTGTTGAGGGACACCCGGAGCTTCTGTGACCATCAGTTGAGGGGGGCTGGTTTAAAACTGTCCCCTTACTGTTACTGTGCTGGAAGACAGCACAGAAGCCAACCCAGCTGCTATGTACCGACTACTTCTATCTGTGGTCAAATCACCCCATGACTCATCATTCCGCCTTGGAAAGGGCTGGACGAGTCCCTGGGGCAGAGGGAACTAACTCTAGTTAGGAGAAGCAAGCACATATCCCTCACAAATCACACCAAAGATGACCAGAGTGTACCTCTTCCCACTCCTTCCCTCCCAGATACTTGACAATCAGTTCACTAATGCTCTCATCACTGGCTCGATGGACATGAGTTTGAGCAAGCTCCGGGAGTTGGTGATAGACCCCAAGGACTGTATCCCACCAGGCTCTCTGTCCATGGAAGTCTCCAGGCAAGAATACCGGAGTGGGTTGCCATTCCCTTCTCCAGGGGAACTTCCAGACCCAGGGATCAAACCTGGGTCTCCTGCATTGTAGGCAGATTCCTGACCTTCTGAGCCACCAGGGAAACCCTCAACTCCACACATACCAGTGTGGTTCTGCACTCCTGGGCTGTGCCCCAGGCCCCAGCTGCCAACCCAGAGACACCACCGATGAGGCAGGCATCGGGGCTACAGCCATTATGATGTCTCACAGACATGGAATTACGAACAACCTTCTAGGACGTTTTTCTTTTGTATTTTATTTTTCTAATTTTCTACAATGGGTAAGTGTTATTCAGGAAGAAAAAAAAAGTCAAATAGCCAGTAACAATGGAGTCTAAGAACTAACAATGTTTAAGAAACATTTTGCCCCATGGAGACATCGATGGAAAGAGGGCAAACCCAGCCCACCACGCTGGCTGTGTTGAGGGACACCCGGAGCTTCTGTGACCATCAGTTGAGGGGGGCTGGTTTAAAACTGTCCCCTTACTGTTACTGTGCTGGAAGACAGCACAGAAGCCAACCCAGCTGCTATGTACCGACTACTTCTATCTGTGGTCAAATCACCCCATGACTCATCATTCCGCCTTGGAAAGGGCTGGACGAGTCCCTGGGGCAGAGGGAACTAACTCTAGTTAGGAGAAGCAAGCACATATCCCTCACAAATCACACCAAAGATGACCAGAGTGTACCTCTTCCCACTCCTTCCCTCCCAGATACTTGACAATCAGTTCACTAATGCTCTCATCACTGGCTCGATGGACATGAGTTTGAGCAAGCTCCGGGAGTTGGTGATGGACAGGGAAGCCTGGCGTGCTGCAGTTCATGGAGTCATGAAGAGTCAGACAACACCGAATGGCTGAACTGAACTGAATGCTCTCATCCAGGTGAAGGGACCATCTTAAACACCTCTGGCTGATGTACTTGATTTCACGTCCCTGAATCTGACTCAGGTGGGCAGCTTTGGAGCCCTAAGCAGCCCATCCTCCCACTAAATCAGGACAACTACATGAAGTTCTTTCATCTTGGATCTCTCATCGTGATTGTGGATGAATATTAAGATGTACAGCCCAGACTCAGTCTCAGGGCACCTTCTTCCCTCATCAAAGGAAAGGCAAGCATTGCTAGGAGGAACTGCTCACTCCCAACCAGAGAATATACCCAAAAGGCACCAAGGCCCAGGGTGCCACATATGGACATGTGAAGCAGGAAGGCTTGTCTTGATATGGTGGAGTCACTGAGTCTTTGTGACTTTGTGATCCCTGAAATGAAAAAGGTCTAGTTCTTAAAAGGCTGGGGCTTGTAGGAGGATTGAAGCTGGAACAGGCACACTTGACATTTTCTTACACTTTGATGCCAGGGAAACACAGAACTCATGAAACCTACAGCCCCAACAAGCAAGGAATGAGGGGGGTGCTGTTTGGAGCATATGAGCCTGTCTGAAGACAAATTCCTTAATTATTTTAGTTGACTGAAGTTGATGTAGAGGGACAGTGGAAGTGAGTAGAGAGAAAGGAATAGCAAACAGAAGAAGAAACCAAAACTCTCAAGATGGGGAGAGAAAGAAATAGAACCTCTTTCCAGGCAGGCACCCCACTTTCCTGAATCCCAAGGGCAAGGAATAAAATCCCAAGGGCAAGGAATAAAAGCAGAAATAGGCCCTGGGCTCAAGGTCTACTTGCATGGAGCTCAGAGCACATAAACAGTATAGGCTTTGTCTATATATCTGTAGGGAATTTGACCTTGACCTGGAGTGTGGGCTGGTGGGTAAGGCTGCTGACCGTGAATCCCACCAGAGGGTTGGGTCCTACTCTGACCTGGCGTGAGCAGGGTCTGAGCTAAAGAGGCTCACAGACTGAGCCTCCTCCTTCCTCTCTTCCTGGTCTTCTTCCTCAGCCCTCACAGCACGACAGCTTCAGTAGGGGCTTGGGGTGGCACGTCTTTATCTGGGATCAAGTCCCTGTGCTGGAAGGATCGAGGTCACCAGAGCAGTTCTCCCACAGCCAGGACTGGCCATATGCCCAGAGCTTCCATCCTGTCTGTGTGGCCAGGCCTTACCTGGCCCTGAGCAGACCCAGACCCAGAATGTGTGCATCTATACCTTTCTGACCAAAAAGCCAGGTCCAAGCTCCTAGGATCTGGTCACAGACAAGCCCTCTGCCCCAAACGGATGCTGGTGGACATCCACCTCTCCCTGCCAGGTGGAGCCCAGTCCAGATGCCTGGAAGCGAGGCACAGGTCTCGCAATCTGAGATACTTCCCCTTACTGTTCCTCAAGCCCAAGTATGCCTTTCCTCTGAAGCAGGAAATTGAACTTTTCAAAGAAAATTATTTTTTAAAAATTCCCTAAACAATTGAAACACTGGGTTCTCCTGAAAATTCTCTCCTTTCTCATAGAATAAATCCTCTGTTTTAAAAGTCACCCTTAAAAGTACATTTGGGAGCTAACAGCATTTCCTGCCCAGTCGTCTCCCAGCACCCCATGCACAGGGCACTCAGACGTGAGCCTTTGTGCAGAAGCTGACCCGTGTCGCTAGCAAGGAAGTCTTGAGTAGTGCACCCAGATCTGCATCCAGGTGTGCACTGACACAAATGTACACAAAATGCACCAGAGATACAGACACACAGAGACCCACACTCACATCCATCCACACACATCAGATGCCCTATTTGGACATGAATTGCACACACACATACACACACAGTCAAAAAGAGAAAATGAAGAGAGAGGCAGGACTTGGAGCCTGGTGGGTGGAAGAGTGAGAAGGGAGATGGTTTCATAGGTGGGGAAAGGGGGGAGTCGGAGGGGAGATGGGGCAGAAGACAGGGAAATGAAACAGAGGACATGGCTAGGGGGGAAGGCTGCTGAGTGGGAGGCAAATTGCCCAGAGCACATTCAGTTATGAAGCAACTGAATCCTCGGCTATGCGGTGGACCCATGGCTGGACAGCTCGGGGAATTCACTCTGCCTCCCAGGGCTGCTCGGCCCCTGCGGGGTCACTGACATGACCGCTGGCCGCTGTTGCCCACTCCTGCCAGCAGATCCTATCCCCACAGCTTTCACAACCCTCTGGCTGACATCACAGCTCGCCAACACCTGCAGTGCCAACACGCTCAACCGAGCCTGGGACACCGGGCTGGATCGAGGCCACCTCTGCTTGGATGCTAGCCACCACGATGGCGATTTTGGGATTCATGGCCTTGAATATCAAGAGGGAAAGGACGGAGATGGCAAGAGTCAAGAGTTCTCCGTGAATTTACACAATATCATACAAATTGGAGCCCATGGGACATGGTGGCTCTCTCTGCATGGGACCCATTTTCTCTCGTCTGTACAGAGTCGCCCCTAGGAAAGGGGTGGATGTCCAGTGACAAAGGACAGCTTCCGTGACGGGAAGGGAAAGGTCTCGTTTGGTGTACGGACTTTATCCAGCGGTAGCTGAGGCCACTCCCCTTCTCCCTCTTGATCCACGCTCCCTTCTTCGCTCATGGCTTGTGGACCCAGATGTGTCTTGAACTCCCAAAGTTAGGGCGCCGAGTCCCGTGGCGTCCCAGGCCTGGGATGTGCAGAACGCAGGTCCTCTGCCCAGGGCTTATGTTCTCGGTTCTGCCCTCGGGGAATTTCAGCCGCACTAAAAATAATAGAAAAATGCAACACAAATGACAGAAACCCCGCACTCAGCAAACACAGACGCACACACACACAGCAGGGATGTCAAGCTGCAGAACTGGCACCCACAGAGGCCCACCCTCGTGATGCTTCCTAGTTCCTGAGGCCTCCATCCTGGGCCATGAAACCACCGCAAATGATAGACAACAGTCATGATCCAGTAGTATGTTTAAAAGGTGAAAAGAAAAAAAAAGGAAACCATCCAAAGTTGTGCACGATCGCGCGCGCGCGCGTGGGCACACACACACACACACACACACACACACACACACACCAGAGGGTTACTCCAAGGCTCCGATCTGCCCAGGGAGTGCAGGCTGGGTTTGGGGCAGGGCGGCCTCTTGTTTAACTGGGTGTAAGGCAGTTGGAAGGTGAGACTGGGCTTTCTGAGCATCCACGGAAGTGTCCTTTCATTGGTGTGGGTCTTGCGTCTCAGCAGGGCGTTCTCTCCCCCTTCCCACCTCTGGAACTTCATCCAAAAGTTTGGCAGCAGAGAGAAAACTTCCTTGTCGGTGGGTTTTCTCGTCTACTTTCTGGTGAGTCGCTGGTCGGCCAGGAAGGAAATCAGAACGGGAAGAGCAGGAGAAGAAAATGGTTCTGGAAATGGCCTCGAAGATCTGGTTACATTCTATGAACTAAGGGCGCTGTTTCTCTGCAATAGGATCGGGGTTGGGGTGGTGTCCCCTCCTGTCGGCTCAGGGGATGGCATTTTCTTGTCTACACCTGTGCCACCCTGGACCACAGGCACCGTCTCTTCCCAGCCCCCCCCCATGCCCCCATCCTTGTGAGTGGTGGGAATCGGGACCCTGTCTTTGAGGGGTGATGCTCACGCTGTCCTCAAGAAACCACGGAGTCAGAAGTTACAAATCGATGGAAGAGCCATGTGAGGGGAACGCCGTCCCCCATCTCGGTGATGAGGTGACACAGAGTCCGGCGAGATGTGGGTGCCTGAGCCAACCCCCACTGTGCCTTGGCACTGGCATTGTCTTGATTGAGTTTTGTCATATATATGTATATTATATATATATTTATATATATATATGTGTGTGTGTGAGTATGGGCTTGTTGTTTTAGCACACTGTCCCGTTCTCGGGTCTGGATTTGGGGCAGTTGGTCCTCGGGACAGGTTGGACAGAAGGGGCCAAGGTACAGAAGAATCCCGAGATCAGCGTGAGGCCCAGGCCCCCCCACGCACAGAACATGGACCATCCGTAGCCATGGCTGATGTCGTCGGGGAGTCCGTACAGGTAGCGGGGGTAACGTGACAGCTCAAAGTTGATCCCGGCCACGCAGGTGCACAGTGAGATGATGCAGAAAGTTCCTGGAGGGGGAGGGGAGACACAGGGGAGGGGGGAGGGGGCAGCAGAGAAGGCGAGGGGAAGGAGAGGAAGAGAGAGAGAAGGGAGGTTTATTACATTTTTTTAGTTTCTTGAATAAGAAAAATGAAAAGATGCAGGTTAAGGGTAACCTGCTAATGAGATCAACATTTGGAAACATTCATGGAGAGGGGAATAGTATCAAGGCTGCCTCACGCTCAGTAACTGCCTGGTCTTGGACACACTCAGGATGTTTCTCTCCTTTGGGAAAATCCTAACAATAAATCACAGGCCAGGTTGTGCAGGGTGAAGCAAAGCAGAAAAGCATTCAGCTCATTTTTTGAAAGCGTTTAAAATTCATTGTCTTTCTTTGGAGACGCAGAAAACACCCCCTTAGCTACTTCTTTAAAGAGAAAAACATCTTTATTGCTTTCTTTTCCACATATAACATCTTACACAATATTGGGTTTTCCTTTAATCCGTTTACCAACTAGTCGTCCAAATCCTGGAAGCCTTTTCCCATAAGACAACATTGACCAGAGTGTTTTCCGTGGAACACCAAGCCTACGAGAAAACTCCTTTACGGTGAAGCAGAGGCAGTAACTCTGGGAAACTGTGCACGTGACTTCTCACCCAAGAAGATGAATAATCCACAGTGAGGTAAGTTAACCTGTCCGACCTAGGGGTATTTCACAAACTTATTACACGGTGCTCCTTCAAACAAAAGCAAAAACAAAACATATTGCTTAGGAACCTTCCTGGTGGCCCAGTGGCTAAGACTCCACACTCCCAATGCAGGGGGGCTGGGTTCAATCCCTGGTCAGGGAACTAGATCCCACAGGCCCCAACTAAAGACCCCACATTCCGCAACTAAGACTCGACACAGCCAAACAGAAAACAAAACAAAAAAACTCAAGAAAAACAAAAACAAAGAAAACCACTGCTCATATTAACCTCCAGTGAGAAAGCTGCTACAAGAGACAGAACGTTATCAAATAGAATCCTAAGCCCACTTTTAGCCAACAGAGATGTGATGTACCTAAAATGAGTTTAAGAGCTTTTCTTGATTTTCCCTGCATCTTGTTTGCTCCGTCGCCGCAGACGGGACAGTAACAGCCTGAAGAAATATGCAACGTTTGGGAAGGCTGGGTGGGGTTGATAGTACTGCAGGGGCCCAAGCACTTTAGTGGCTGTGATATGTGTTTCCAAAGGTGACTAAGTCAGGAGCAGAGCAGAGGGCAGTGTATAGGCAGCGAGTCTAGGGAGGACCCTGTTGTGTCAAGAGGAGAAAGGAGGAGGGGGCAGGGCTGGACTGAGGGACTGTTTAGTGACAGCTGCAAGCAGTGTGTCAGGGGGGACTTGGCATAAATGAAATTGTGTGTGTGGGAAGCATGTAGGTGTGTTTGTGTGTGTAGTCACAGCTTGTGTACAAACACGTATGGTACCGTCACTCCTTGGGAGAGCAGTGGTCCCAAACTTGGGGGGTTACAAAGTACCCAGGGTCCCTCCTGCTCTGCCCTGGGGTTCAGACAGAATTCTAAGTGGGTGCCCAGAGTGGATTACGTCTCACCCCAGACCCTGTGAATCGGAATCTTGGGGGACAGGATGAGGCGCTTTCCTTTTCAAAAGCCCCTCGGGTGATTTCTGTTGGTCAGCCTAGCGAGACCCTGTGTGAGCGCACAGGTTCTGAGTCTAAGCTTGAGACATGAATCCAGGTGAGGCAAGAAGCAGGGGGTAGGAGACGGTGACGGGCTGGGAGAGCCAGAGCTGGAGAATGCTCCATTTCGACACCCGTTTTCAAGAATCCAAATTCCAACAAAACCTGGAGACCCCCTTGGGTTTAGAAACCTGGTGTGCATGATATTATTTACTAAAGTTTAGATTTAGGACAGGAAGTGGGGGAGAGAGAGAGACAGCGTGCGTGCATGTGTGTGCGTGCACGTGCATGCTGAGTTCAAATCTGAGCTGCCCTTGGGATGTTGAGGCACTGGGGACCACGGGTTTGGAGCCTGGTAGAAATTTCTGAGCTAGAGATGTGGACTGAGTCAACATCTTGTAAAGTGAAGCTCTGGATGTGACTGAAGTCACCCAAGAGCTCCCTATGAACTGTACCTACACAGGATACTTTACAAAAGGGAGACAGTTCTTCTCATCAAACGGGGCACAGTCCTGCTGATTAAGTCCAGCGATCTGTTCTGGGAGAGAAGGTCGACCTCAAGAAAATTGATCTTGACCTTATGATCTTCATAAGTTGCCAACAGCTGATAAAACTTGAGGGACACTATTTTAAGGGTGTTCTGCAAGCAGAAATGGGAATACCAGACCACCTTACCTGCCTCCTGAGAAATCTGTATGCAGATCAAGCAACAGTTAGAACTGGAAATGAAACAACGGACTGGTTCAAAATTGGGAAAGGAGTATGTCAATGCTATATATTGTCACCCTGCTTATTTAACTTCTATGCAGAGTACATCATGAGAAATGCTGGGCTCGAGGAAGCACAAGCTGGAATCAAGATTGCCAGGAGAAATATCAATAACCTCAGATATGCAGATGACACCACNTGGAAAAGACCCTGATGCTGGGAAAGATTGAAGGCAGGAGGAGAAGGGGATGACAGAGGATGAGATGGTTGGATGGCATCACCAACTCAATGGATATGAGTTTAAGCATGCTCCAGGAGATACAGGAGAACAGAGGAGCCTGGCGTGCTGCAGTCCATAGAATTGCAAAGAGACAGACACGACTTAGCAACTTAACAACAACAGCTGCAAGCAGAGTAGGCAGGACAGAAAGAATGTGGTTGATAAATCAAAACCTAATCACTTAATTACCACATGGACCTAATTACCTACCAATTGGACATGGCCCATCTTGTTGATAACATACATCTTACTGTTGTGTTAATAGGATTAGTTGGGGTATCTTCCTGCCTTCACATCATTTCAGTTGTTCTGTGACTTGGCAACCTTTAAAAATTTCTCTGGTTTGCTAGCTCTTGTCAATATTCCCATAGGTGGGAAAAAACTCTGCGGGCTCTCATTCGAGATGGCCCATTACACAGGTCATCTGTGCAACCTATGGAGAAGTCCTGTGTGACAAAATGGGAAGAGGTGAGAAAGGATCTGTCAGTCCCCACAGACATGGGTGAGGATTTCATTCTGGGTGAGGATTTATATTTTTATATGCTTCTGCACTTCTAAATTCATGTTTTGAAAAATGTGCATTAGTAACTGGAAATATACCCATGTAGGTACCTGTGAGTCCTTGGTTAACAAACTCAATGCAGGACATGTTGCCACTGCTATTCTGATAGCTGAGCTAACGATGTATTTTGATGGAGTTCCAGAGTGTGTGTGGGCTAACAGGCCCAGATGGGCAAGGACCTGCCTGACCCAGTGTCCTAAGGTGATGAGCCCATCTTTCAGACCTGCGGACTGGCAACCCACTGGGGAGGGTGGGGTACAGAATTCCCTCCACCTCCTGCTGCCGCCACCACCAACTCCCTGGGGTTCTCTGGGGAACTCACAGATTCCAAATGTCTCTGTTAGGAAACACCTCAAATAAAGGGCGAGGGCTTCCCTGGTGGCTCAGATGGTAAAGAATCTGCCTGCAATGCAGGAGACCCGGGTTTGATCACTGGGTGGGCAAGATCCCCTGGAGAAGAGAATGGCAACCCACGCCAGTGTTCTTGCCTGGAGAATCTCATGGACAGAGGAGCCTGGAGGGCTGCAGTCCATGGGGTTGCAAAGAGTTGGACATGACTGAGCGATTCACACACATACACACACAGATATTACAGCACTGGGGACCACAGCCTCTTTCCATTCACCCCAAGTACAGTGCTGCTTTGGGTAAGTAATGAGACCTTCCTTGCTTCACAAGGAGCAGGCTATAGACTGGGTTATCTTATTTCTCAGGAGCCCTTACTGACTGATTAGTGAGGATCCAAGAAAGGCAAATGTTCTAATGCATGGTCACATCTTCTTAATAATGTCCCCCATGTCTTGGGGTTTGAGCCTAATTCCAATCAGACTTTAAGACTAATCATAGTCACAGTTACCAATTAAGTGAAAAGAACTAGCCAAGCCCTCCCTTGGGAGCAAGGCTCCACTGTGTGCCCACAGCTGGCTGCGACACTGGCCAGGCAAGGAGGGACAGCAGAAACGCGGCTGCCAGACCTCAGAGACGTCAAGCCTGGGGGAGGCAGGTTAGCTGCGATGGGGCGGAAGGAGGGGAACATTCCTGTGGCTGCAGGCCCCACGGTGTGCCCGACAGCCGATCAGCAAACATCTGTTGAACTTCTCTGTTTGTACTAAGCATTATGCTAGATGTTAGAGGGATAAAAGGGAGAATAAGATAGGATCGCTGTTCTTGAGAATTTTTAATTAAATCTAAAATAAAAAGATGAAAAAAAAAACACCTTATAATCTCATTGGGGATAGGAGACAGACAAATGAAAAGCTGAGGATGAAGTGGAAATAGCGCCAGACGGGGGATTAAAGGGCCTGAGTTTAGCATCCGCTCTGAACAGGTGGTACCCTCATTGGTAAATCAGGGAGCTGGAGCAGATAGCTAGAAGGTCCCTCCTATATCGAGTCATCTTTAGGAAAAGAAGGAATAATACCCAGAAGTAAATGGTAAGAGACAAATATGCGGGGCCAGAGGAGGTTTCCCAGAGGAAGCAGGGTCTTGAAAAAGGAGCAGGGTGTCTGCAGGCAATAAACAGAAGGGGGTTCTCACCTGGCCTGGAGAGCATCCTTCCTTCAGTCCCAGAGCCCCAGGGACCTGGTCTCTAAGCCTGAGTCGAGAAGACATGTCTGCACCCCATTCCCATCATACCTCTGACTTCTGAAATGCTCACTGACGTCATCCTGGACAGGCTTTCATCACTTCCCACAGAACCTCTGTAGCAGATCAGTGATGCCCCATCTTCTTCTTCCAGCTATATGTTAAAAAATTTAAAGCCCACCTCTTTAACCTGCCTGTATGGCCTCACCTGGGT